CCCCAAAACCCCAAAACCCCAAAACCCCGTTAGGTTGAATTTATTATTAATGTTAAATCAATAAAAATATATATAAGAGAATTTTATTAGAATAGTATGAGAATAATTATAAAGATAAAATGAAAAGAAAGCTAAGTTTTACTGGCACCCCTAAAAATTAAAATCTGTTTTAAGAATTAGAGGAAATTCTCATGACTTCTCCTCCTAATGCTGAACCAACGATTGGATCAGCAGATCCCACTAAATCTTAATTCTAATTTAATAGGGCATTTGATCAAAGGTATAATTTCAATTACTCATTTACCTTTATAATAGTCATGATTTGGTCGAGATAAACGATTTTAAGCCAAACAATGATGATGAGTTTAATTTGCTTGAGGAATACGAACGAAAAACTTAAAATTCTGATGGGATTAAAAACAACCTTAACTAAACATTTGAAAACCTCCAAACTTATGTTAACAATCCCTAAGATCCTAATCTAAAATAAATTTTAGAAGAGTATCAGCCAGAGAGCGCAGAAATAGATCTTGAGGAATTGAAATAATCTAATGATTTCTATATTAAAAAATACCCTGATGCAGTATACTTTGGTGAATGTGTAAAATCTTCAAAAGGAAAACTAATAAGACAAGGTAAAGGTATAATGAAGTATCAAAACAGCAGAGTATACGAAGGCGAGTGGCTTAATGATTAAAGACATGGAAGAGGTTTCGAACATTATCCAAATGGCAACATTTATCAGGGAGAATTCGAAAATGGTAAAGCGCATGGGTAGGGTCATTATTCATGGGTATAATCAGGTGAAGTATACGACGGTTAGTGGTAAAAAGGTATAAGACATGGAAAAGGAGTTTGGAAGAGATAAAACAAAAATAGTAGTGTAGCTGAAAATGGAATTATAGACTCTTACGTGGGAGAATGGAAAAATGGAAAAGCTGATGGATTCGGAGTTCATACATGGAGTAATGGCGATTAATACGAAGGGGAATGGAAAGCTTGTATGAAACATGGAAAAGGAGTTGATTTATTTGCTAATGGAGATTCTTATAATGGAATGTACAAAGATGGTAAACCACATGGTGAGGGTAAATATGTATGGACAAATGGAAGTTATTATGAGGGAACTTTTAGAAACGGTTTAAAGCACGGCTTTGGAAAATGGAAAAAATATGTTCCAAATGTAAATGGATAATAAGCCACTAAAATTGACATTATAGCTGATCAGCTAAAATCTAACTTTATGTACTATGAAGGTGATTATAAAAATGATAAAAAGGATGGTAAAGGGCACTTCGTTTGGCCAACTGGAAATTACTACAAAGGAGACTATAAGGATGATGAAAGAGAAGGCAATGGAGAAATGAAATGGATTGATGGCACTTAGTATGTTGGTTCTTGGATTAGAGGGGTTTAACATGGTTATGGTAAGATAATTATGCCAGATGGAACTATGAAAGAGGGCTATTTTGAGAATAATATATTTCTTGGAACAAGACCAAGAACTTAAGGAAAATCATAAGAAGGTAGAAAAATCAACAAGCTAATGCGATCTGATAAAAAAGACAATCTGAACAATATTCATGATAAAGATATTAATGACATAGAAGATAAATATAAAAATATGATCAGTCTTGCCCAGCAGTCAGGGAAAAATGGAAACTTGGCTAGTCTTGAAAAGCTTCGTTCTCGAAGCTAAAATATGAGTTAATAACAAATGGAGGCTTAGAGGCCTTAATCTTAATAAGATCCTAAAGTTAATAATAATTTTGAAGAAGCTGGAACCTTAGACTAATTAGTTGATTAAAGAAAGCTAAATAAGAAAACATAAAGATTTCACTCTGATAGACATGAGAAATAAGTAGATGAGAACAGGCAAGCTTAATTTACTCAAAATCAATAAAATTAGGCTTATTTACAAGAGTAAAATTTATAGAAACCTTTGATCTATCTAAAACCATCTAGCTAACCTTCAACTAATAATAGCAAAAGAGAGAGTTTAGATGTGTTAAATGAAATAAATAACGAAGCTCATTAGATACTAGGAAGAAATCCAATAAAATACTTTGAATAATAGATGGTTGGAAGAGATACTAAAAAGCGATATTCAGGAATGAATAAAGGTACTTCCGCTCCTTTGCACACTTAAACTATTCAGTAGCCTACAATTCCTTTAGTACAAATGAGATCGTCATAGTAATAATTGAGAAGTAACTATTTAATTACGCCTCCATAACCATTAGGTTCGAGAATGATGAACTCTGGCATGAAGGCTTAAAGAATAGATTCAAATACATCTCTCTTAAGTAGCGGTAGCAAGCAAAGAATAACTCCTCGGGGCTCAAGTGATTAAAAAATGTATAGAGATAGATCTCAAACTCAAACCTAGTTCTACAGAAATTAAGAGTCCCTTTAAACGTTGCAAAACGAGAGAGATCGTGAAGCTAATAACATCAAAGCTCTTATAAATTCTAGCAGTAGTGGATATTTACTGAACAGATATGATCAGATCCCATAACAGTAGTAAAGAAGTATACCCTAGAACCCTCTCAAACTTATGATGACATCATAACAGAATTTAGCCAGATATAGGGCAAGCGTAGTAAACATCAATAAGCCTTCATCAGTAAACGCCCATTCAAGAAAGAATAGCAGATTGCAAGTGAGTACCAAGATAAGTCAAAGAAGAAACAGCAATAAAAGAGTCTCAATTACCTCTAGTGGAACTAGACGTAATGATTGAAGTGGAAAGTGTATTCATTGAATCAACTATAACACTCTATACTTATACATAGATCTGAGATTCAGGTTAATGTTAAATATCTATTTATTATTAGAAATATATCTCATCATAGCAAAAATTATTAATTAACAAACATGCTATTGATATATATCCATTTTATATCTTTAATTTCAGCAAAGAATTTATTTCACATTATTATCAGGCATTACACTCATAATCTGGGGTTTTGGGGTTTTGGGGTTTTGGGGTTTTGGGG